GAATATAAACTCCTAACATAATGCCTTAATGCAAAGAATTAAATAATTGCTAATGCAAAAATAACAATGCTCAAAATTAATGGATATGACAAGAACTAATTAATCAAAAAATTAAAATTTCAATTTTGTCTACCCCCCACACTTAAAACAACATTGTCCTCGATGTTACAACACAATAAAAGAAATTAAAAGAAAAGTAAGCGAAAACTCCCCTGATTATTGACGAAATAGAACTTTGGAGCTTGCTTGTAATTTAATTGTGCTTCTCATCTACAAGTTTAGCTCAAGAGACAAAAGATGTAATTGGTATAATCATCCTGATTAACAAAGGAAAATAAAGTCTATAATATGCAAAAGTTAAATCCTGCAATGCAATTGTAAAACGTTAGTAAGTAATGCAAATATGGAAAAATTAGATGCTAAATGTGTAATGCAATGCAATAATAAATAAAAATATATATAGTAGATGTATAATAATTGGTGCTAAATCCTTTAGTGGATGCCCAAATCATGCTTCGAAAGTCAATCCCCACGGCCCACATCTCCTTCCTTGAATCTAAACGTGAAAGCCTTGTCCTTGTTAAAACTCCATAAATGTCTTTTCTGATTTGCCTTCTCCACAATCTTTGCTGTGATTGTCTGCCCTTTTTAAGTTTGCAAATGGATTTTCGAGATCATTAACCTCTGTGATATGAACCCGTCGGAAACCAATTCCAAATTTCAATCTTAATTCAAGTGGCATTGTTTCAGTAACATCTGCGCCAATGTTCCCAGATAATAATTCACCAGTAAACAATATCATAGAATCATCAATTACAAAATTCCCAGGGTCAATAACAATTAATGTTCCAATATGAGCAATTAGTCAAGGGCATATCCACGATTAAGCAATCACAACCCCAAACAGAACAGATTCCAGAAGCAATTATCACCAATTAAACAGGTCTCCCAACAGCCCAAGTGAAGCAGGAATTCAGCAAACAAATTACACAGCTTTCAAAGTTAACAACAAATTAAAGTTCCGAATATGAGATCACCAATAGCAGACGCACAAATATCCAACTAAATTCCCAAACAATCCCAATAATCCAACACTTAATATTCGAAACAACAGCCCAGAACAATGAAACACCCAAATTAAGATATCAACCAAGTAGATACCCAATATCGCAAGCTTAGTATACTTAACCAATGAACAAGCCAGAAGTATTAATCAATAATGATGAAGCTTACTTGCGTGTAGAATTAAAATCCGGATAACAATGTTGTCAATCCCACATCTCTCAAAGTTGAATGCTACTCTGTTCGTCGGTTTTGGGGTGGAGAGGTTGGCAGTTCGGCGACGATGAGTAGAAGAAGTTGCGGCTTGAAACAGTAGCGGATATGGTCAGCTTAAGTCAGAGGACAGACTTCGATGGTTGAGAGCGGGGCTTAGGCAGAGGTCTTGCTGCGATTTGTATTTTGACAACTCAAGATCGACGCTTGAAGACGGGACATACTTCAGACAAGGCTGCTGATCATCGAAGCAAGATAAAAGCGGCGTTGAATAAGGGACTGATCGGGAGTCGAGTGAAAACAGAAACTTGGCTGCGATTCAATTTCAAACAGGCGTCGGATTAAGCTTGAAGTGGTTGCCTGATTTAAACCGAACCAAGGATGCTATTTGTTGAATTGAGATCGGCGCCCCATGAGATGTAAGGCGGCGCCCAAATCGTAACTGATATTACGTGATTTTTGAAGAAAATAAGACTGGCGCCGGATGAGGGAGCAATTGGGAGCCTACTCAAGACAGAAACTTGGAGTGCTATTTACGAATTGAAGCAGGCGCCGGGTTGAGCATGAAGTGGGAGCCTGGTTAAAACAGTAACTTTTTGCTGATTCCATAAAGAGATAAGTCGGCGCCGGGTTGTGCATCAACTGGGAGCCGACCTACGACAGAAACAATTCTGGCTTTCTTGAATCGAAGCTGGCGCCGGGTGACATCTCAACTGGGCTCCCGGTTAGGTCAGATTTGTTGACTTGTCGTGCGAAATCAATTGGGAGCCTGGTAGAATGTCAATTGGGGGCCCCGTTCAAGTCTGAAGCTTAAGGAACATTTTTCAGCAATTATTTTTCAATAACAGCCCATATTTCACTCATAATGTAACCCAAATCTTTCTTCAAAATTTGATTCCTACTTCTTCTTGCTTCCATGAACCAACTTGAGCGCCAATTTATGCAAGGTAAATGAAATTGAAAATGCACAAAAGAAAATGAATACAGACTAAGTGAAGTAAAATATGAATGAGAAAATAAACTAAAAATGCAATTGCACTAATGTAATAAGAACGTCTTTCAATCTTAAGCAAAGAAATAGGAGAATTCTTAAGAAATTAACGTATAAAGAAAAGTTTAGAACTCCCTTTTCCATGCTTAAGAATCAAAGACGTCAACTAAATAACTTTCCTACAAAAGAAAATAAAATTGTTAGCAATAAAAATAAAATAGGTTAGAAGTTTGGGTTGCCTCCCAACAAGCGCTTTTGTTTAACGTCGTTAGCTCGACGGAGCTTTGAAGTACTTATTCAGAGAAGGTGATTTTCTGAACATGTTGCACATATTCTCCTTCGAAGTAATGCTTCAATCTTTGGCCATTGACTACAAAAGGTCTCTTTTCATCTCCTTCGATCTCAATTGTACCATAAGGATGGACTTTAGTCACGACAAAGGGTCCGGACCATCTCGACTTCAATTTTCCTGGAAACAATTTAAAGCGTGAGTTAAATAAAAGGACTTTCTGACCCACTTTAAATTCTCTCCTCAAGATATTCTTATCATGCCAAGCCTTGGTCCTTTCCTTGTAAATTCGAGCATTCGCATAGGAATCTCTTCGAATCTCTTCAAGCTCATTCAATTGCAACAATCGCTTCTCCCCAGCTAACTTGAGATCATAATTCATTGCCTTCACCGCCCAATAAGCCTTGTGCTCAATTTCAACCGGTAAATGGCAAGATTTACCATACACGAGTCGATAAGGTGACAAGCCCAAAGGAGTCTTAAATGCAGTCCTATAAGCCCATAAAGCATCATCAAGCTTCCTTGACCAATCTTTTCTAGTATTACTAACCGTTTTCTCCAAGATAGCTTTAATTTCACGGTTAGATACTTCTACTTGCCCACTCGTTTGAGGATGATAAGTGGTTCCAGATTTGAAAGTGCACCCATACTTACGCATCAATGTCCTGAACTGATCATTCTGAAAGTGAGTACCATTATCACTAATGATAGCACGAGGAACTCCAAATCTAGAAAAGATATTTTTCTGAACAAATTTAACCACACTAGATCCCAAGTTGTCAGGCAATGCAACAGCTTCCACCCATTTAGAGACATAGTCAACAGCAACAAGTATGTACTTGTTTTTACCAGATAGAGTGAAAGGTCCCATAAAGTCAAGTCCCCAAACATCAAAGATTTCAACTTCTAAAATACCTGACTGAGGCATCTCATGCCTTCTGCTTATGTTACCAGTTCTTTGACATCGGTCACATGACATTACGAAGCTCATTGCATCCTTAAAGAGTGTAGGCCAAAAGAAGCCACATTGAAGTACCTTAGCAGCTGTTTTAGAAGCACCATGATGTCCTCCACAAGGAAGTGAATGACATTGAGTGAGAATGGAAACCATCTCTTCCTCAGGAATACATCTTCGAATGACACCATCAGCACATCTATGGAATAAAAGCGGATCATCCCATATGTAATGTTTCACTTCCGAAAAGAACTTCTTCTTTTGATGATGATTAAGACCCAATGGTACTTCATTTGAGACCAAGAAGTTTACAAAATCGGCAAACCATGGGACATTAGCATCTGTTACTGCCATTAAGTTCTCATCAGGAAAGCTATCATTAATTGGTACATCATCCACCTTATCTTCTTGCTCCAATCTCGAAAGATGGTCGGCTACCAAATTTTCGGACCCTTTCTTATCTCGGATTTCCAAGTCAAATTCTTGCAAAAGTAGAATCCATCTAATTAGTCTTGGTTTGGTGTCCTTTTTTATCAATAAATACTTCAAAGCAGAATGGTCAGTATAAACCACAACTCTGGAACCAACAAGATAAAATCTAAACTTCTCAAAAGCATAAACAACAGCTAGTAATTCTTTCTCAGTGGTAGCATAATTAGTCTGAGCATTATCTAAAACCTTGCTAGCATAATAAATAACATGTAACCTCTTATCTTGTTTTTGTCCCAAAACTGCTCCCACGGCATAGTCACTAGCATCACACATGACTTCAAATGGGAGACTCCAATCTGGTGCTACCATGATAGGAGCTGAGGTAAGTTCCTTTTTCAACCTGTTAAAAGCATTCAAGCAATTCTCATCAAAGTTAAAAGGAACATCTTTTTGAAGTAAATCACACAAAGGCTTAGCTATTCTAGAGAAATCCTTAATAAAACGCCTATAAAAGCCTGCATGCCCAAGGAAACTTCGAATAGCTCGAACTGAAGTTGGTGGTGGCAATTTATCAATGACTTCAATTTTAGCTTTGTCCACCTCAATTCCCTTTTGTGAAACCTTATGACCAAGGACAATCCCTTCTTGCACCATAAAATGACATTTTTCCCAATTAAGCACAAGGTTTGTCTCTTCACAACGCTTAAGAACCTGTTCTAAATTAGACAAACACTCGTCAAAAGAAGGTCCAAAAACAGAAAAATCATCCATAAACACCTCAATTATCTTCTCCGCCATGTCGGAGAAGATAGACATCATGCACCGTTGGAAAGTTGCAGGAGCGTTGCAAAGTCCAAAAGGCATCCTTTTGTAAGGTAAAAGTGCCATAAGGACATGTGAAAGTGGTCTTCTCCTGATCTTCTGGGGCAATGTAAATCTAGTTATAACCTGAGTAACCATCTAAGAAACAATAGTAAGCATGCCCAGCTAATCTTTCCAACATTTGATCAATAAAAGGTAAAGTAAAGTGATCATTTCTAGTCGCCGCATTCAGTTTGCGGTAATCAATGCACACCCTCCACCCAGTTTGCTTCCTAACAGGTATCAACTCATTCTTTTCATTGTGCTCAACAGTAATACCTCCTTTCTTTGGAACAACCTGAACAGGACTTACCCAAGGACTATCAGAAATCGCATAAATAATTCCTGCATCAAGTAGTTTAAGTACCTCATCTCGCACAACATCTTTCATGTTTGGGTTGAGTCTCCTTTGATGCTCCACACTGGATTTGTGATTCTCCTCCATGAGAATCTTGTGCATGCACACTGATGGACTAATGCCCTTAATATCAGCAATGGTCCAGGCAATAGCCATCTTGTGCTTTCTCAAAACTCGTACAATCTTCTCTTCCTGCACACTAGATAAAGAAGATGAGATAATAACAAGATAAGTGTTTGATTCACCCAAGAAGACATACCTCAAATGAGAAGGAAGTTGTTTTAATTCTGACTTTGGTGGTGCTTGACAAGAAGGTAATAATTTGGGTTTCCTTTGTCCCAATTCTTCAATAGCTAAACATTTATTAAAAGAACCACTACCTTCTAATCTAGTAACATAATCATGAAAATTTTCAACAACTTCTTCATCACCTAAAGTTAAAGTTAAACAAGGAAGAAGAGGATCATCACTTATCATTTTAACCATATTCTCATTCACAGATTCATCTAGCACATCAAGTCTAAAACAAGAATCCTCAAAAGGAAGGCTTTTCATGGCTTTAAAAATACTAAACTCTTCCTTATCCTCACCAATACTTAAGGTGAGTTTACCAGCTGCAACATCAATCAAGGCATGAGCAGTAGCCATAAATGGTCTACCCAAAATCACAGGCACATCCACATCATATTCCATCTCCATAACCAAAATATCAACAGGAAATATCAACTTACCGACCTTTACCAACAAATCCTCTACAATACCTATAAGATATCTTACCGAACGATCTGCTAATTGTAAAGCAATTGTTGTAGGTTTTAGGCCTTCCAATCCAAGTTTTCTATAAAGAGACAAAGGCATCAAATTTATGCTAGCACCTAAATCAGCCAAACACTTTACTACACTCAATTCACCAAAGTAGCAAGGTATAATAAAACTCCCTGGATCCTTTAACTTGGGAGGTAGTTTCCTTCGTAGGATGGCACTACACTCCTCAGTCAAAGGTACAGTAGAATATTCCTCCAATTTCTCCTTGCTTGACACAATATGTTTCAAGTATTTAGCATAACTAGGCATTTTGGCAAGTGCCTCAACAAAAGGTATGTTAATATGAATTTTCTTAAACAAATCTAAAAACCTTTTGTAATTGTCCTCATCATGTCTCTTTCTCAACCTTTGAGGATATGGAATAGGTGGTACATAAGGCTTAACTGGAGATTGAGAAATTGGCTTACTCATCTGAGTTGTGCTTACCTCATCGGCATCAACATCCACAAGTTCAGCTTCCTTTAGAGTGGACTTTACTGCTTTCTCTTTTGTGGCATCAGTCTCCACAAGTTTTCCACTCCTCAAAGTGATTGCTTTGTAATTTTCCTTAGGATTCACCGTAGCGTCACTAGGGAATTGTCCATTACCTCTTTCACTTAACTGCTTAGCCAACTGACTGACCTGCACCTCAAGATTTTGTATGGCAGTCTGATTTGATTTAGTCATCTGCATGACCAACTCCTCAATTTTGTCAAGTCTTTTCTCAAATGCTGATGTTTGAGGTGGTGGTGCTTGTGGCTGCAGAGGTTGTTGAAACTATTGTCTGGGCTGCTGGTACCCAGGTTGACCCACAGGTCTACTAGAAGAAGCACCTTGACCCCCCAAGAAGAATTAGGGTGATTTCTCACCCCTTGATTGTAAGTGTTGGGGTAAGGATTGCTTTGCTGCCTTCCAGTATTAGCAACATATTGAGCCTGTTCTAACTGTAGACACTCAGAACTATCATGATATTCTGCACACCACTCACAACTCATAGAAGGGTTAGAGGGGTTAGAGATAGCATTAATATTAGCCTTGTTCAACATGGTAACAATAGAATCAAGTTTAGCATTAAGCATAGTAACACTATCTACCGAATGCAAACCTCTCTTGGATCCATCTCTTTCCCCATAAGATTCTTCATTATTGGATGCAACAGTTTCCATCAATTCCAGTGCTTCAGCTATAGGTTTTCTCAATATTGCACCACCTGCTGCAGAGTTCAAATTGGATTTACATTGAGATAAAAGACCATTATAAAAAGTTTGTACCAATAACCAATCTGGAACTCCATGGTGTGGACAGTTTCACTGCAAATCCTTGAATCTTTCCCAGGCATCATGAAGCGTTTCGTTGTCTCATTGCTTAAAGCTAGTGATGTCAGTTCTGAGCTTATTAGTTCTCTCAAGTGGGAAATACTTTGTCAGAAAAGCTGTGGTAAGCTCATCTCAGGTCTTGAAGTGGCATGGAGGAAAGGAATTCAACCAAGCTTTCACCTTGTCCCTGAGAGAAAAAGGAAATAAACGCAAACGAATTGCTTCATCAGTAACATTATGAATCTTTACCGTATCACAAATTTCCTGGAAATTTGTTATATGTAGCAAAGGATCTTCAGTAGGTCTGCCATCAAAAGGATTTTGTTGGACCATTGTGATAAGGCCTGGCTTGATTTCAAAATTCTGAGCCTGAATAGTGGGCCTGGCAATGCTAGTCCGAGTATTTGTAATACTCGGGATAGCATAATCTCCCACAGGTTTAGTGTCAAACTTGATCACCCATGATTTCTTTTTGCCTTTGCTTTTCAAGTTTTGCTTGTTTTCGATTGAATTTGTAGAGTTTCTCAATTTCAGGATTGTACGGAACAAGAGCTTGAGAATCAGTGGTTGCTCTTGTCATACACTACCTAAAATCTAAGGATAGAGAAGAAATATATGCAATAAAAATAAAAGATAGAACAAATTAAAATAGAAATTAAAGTGTTCCCCGGCAACGGCGCCAAAAACTTGATGTACTAAATCTGCAAGTGCACAGAGTCAGTTGAAGTAATAAAATCCTAGAGTAATCCAGGTGTCGAACCCACAAGGAACAATTAATTTCTATCATAATTAATTCTATCAGAGAAGGAAATTTGAGAGATTATCTAAAAAATTTAAACTAGAAACAATGAAATTATAAAAGCAGGAAATTAACTAAGATTTGAAAACAATAACTGGATAGCTAGGGCTTCAGGTTTCACCTAACTGGGAAATTACTACTCAATCTATGAATTAATTTGATGCAAAGCTAGAATAGAATTAAACTTAATTGCCTATGCGCTCCGTCAAGTCTACACAGGAATACCTAACCAATTAGATTCACTATCCGTCGATGTCAACCTAATTAACTAGATTCATTAAGAACAAGTAATTATTCACCTATCAAATTAGCCTAAGATTCATGTCTGATCCAGTCTAATTTGACTATTTTCCTTGTGCACAGATTATGCTTCTCCTGTCAGTTCATCACACAATCCCTAAAACAATCTATATGTTGATCAAGCATCTAAATCTCATGAAGAACAAGGAAAATAAATCTAACTTTAAAGAAAATCAATTCAAAACATAAACTAAATAATAATTCCCAATTGGCTACACCTAAAACCCTAATTAGGGATTTAGCTATTCATGCTCATGAATTCAAAACAAGAATTATTATTAAGCATAAGAGAATTCATGGACAAGAGAAAGAAGAAAAACCACTTGAATAAATCTTGAAGAGAGCCTCCCAAAAATCCAAGGTAGAATAATTGATAAAGAATAAAATACAAGAGCTCTCCCTTTTATAGGGATACAAAATATAATTAATTAAAATCCTAATAGGACTTGGAATAAGAGAATTCTGACTTTAATTAGCCCAAAATTCGTAAGACATAATTATTGGTTAAAAATAGATGAAGACCCATCAAAAATAGGAGAAAATCTGGTCAAATTCGGGTCAAAATCGGTTCACCTGCGCGTGTCCAAGGCTGACCCGTGCGCGGCTTGCAACAGGCTAAGTCTCCGCGTCTCAAAAACAAGCTTACCCGCTTGCGGCTTCGAGTTGGCCCGCGCGCGGGTTACACCAGGAATTTATGCGCCAATTTCATCTCCCATTTCGACTTGGTCAAATCTCCTTATTTGTGCTTCTAACTTCTTTTTCCTTCAATTTGGTCCCTTAATTCAATAAATCTCCAATTGAACCTAAGAAATAAAATCAAAGGAAATTAAGTATCAAATAATCAAAATAACTAATAAAAGCACCAAAATAATATCAATAATTATGTAAAATTATGGACTTATCAGCACGCTGTCCACCCCCGCCTCCGCCAACATTGAAACTCTGGCCCCCGCTAGCAAGAAGAGTTTGAAGGTGAACAAGCACCAGCAGCAAGAGTACAAAAGGAGTTTTCGAACCCATTTGCAATTTCTTGATTTTCCTTTTAATATTTATTGTTAATATAATATGGCCTTTATATATGAAGAGTTTTTAAAAGAACGTTGCAAATGTTACTTATTAAAATAAACTGAAAAAATTGATCAAACAAATAGAAGAAACAAAAATTGCTCAAACAAATAGAAGAAACTAAATTAGTTAGTATATTATGTAAAGGAAAATGGAGCTGTATGCAGGAAAAGCGGGGCATATCTATCTAACACCACCTTGGTTTTTAGATTGGATTAACATGTTTTAATTGGAGTATTTGTCTGTTTTATAACGAAAATGGTATATATGCAATAACTTCCAACAATTTTGGCAAAAAAAAAAAGTAACTTCCAACAATCAAACTGAGTGGAAGATGCATGTGAGTTTAGGTTACCTTCTCCCACAGACTCTGCACCTCCAAAAAGATTCTTGGACAAATCTTCCCTTCCAATGTATGTAAACAGATCTTAAACACAAACTAATTAACCACTTTTTTGTTTTTATTGCTTTATTATGTTTTTTTTTGTTTCAACAAAATTAATGAAAGTTACCAATTATTGGAACAATATTGCAGGATTCACATGGGCAATATGCAGGATATTCAAGAAAAATAACTATACATCTCACTCTTGGGTTTCTCCCATAGTAAATTTATGGGGGGAATGGTAAGTGAAGATCTTTCAATTATGAAATGATTAATTTATATTCAAAATTAAAGATATCATAACCTACTCTTCATATCAGTGTTATCCTTTGACATGCCATTGTCTTCATTTCTCCTTTGGGATAAATTTTTTTCCTCATCCAGCATTGTCAAAATTATTGTTTAAAGCCAATATCTTTTACAACATACTTAGTCCCATCAGGATACATAATGACATCCCCCATCCCATATCATCGAAAGCCAAATACAAAAACCAAACTTGTAGATGTTATCATACCTAGTAGTAAAAATAGTTGATTGTTAATCATGATGATCCCAACAAAAAACTGTGGATTGATTGTTAAATTCAAGTTGAAATTAATGTGGTCTACAGAGGATCCTTTGCAGGGGCTTATAGGGCGAACAAGGCTTCTGAAAGTCTTAACAAGATGAGATGAAGGGTATCACCTTTGCCAATTGCCTCTCATGGAAACGGTTAAGCGCAAGAATCTGATTGATTGCTTTGGCAAAAACACGCTAAATAATATTTGCTGCAACAGTACAGCACAAAAAGATCATGCTAGGTTTGCTCCTCCACTTGCAAGATATTATCCGTTTTGACTTATTATATTACCGAAGAAGCCATTTTGTTGTTAGAAGTCTTCAATACTCAGTGGTCTAATTCACATTCTTTTTTTATCAGTATTAGAAGTTAGTTTCTTCATATAAGGAGTTCTTCGCTCTATGGAAAATGATAATATAAGAAATGAAAATTCTCTTCATTATCGGAGTAATAATTGTGCATCTGAGCCGAACTTTCCTGATAAGAGATTTAGAATGGTGTGAATCATGCTGTAATGTTTCAACACATGCAATTAGTGAATTTATGGGAGGAATGGTAAGTGAAGATTCTTCAATTACAAAATGATTCATTAATATTTAATTAGAAGATATTTAATCTTTAAAATTAAAATATCAAAGCCCTACTCTTCATATCTTTATTTTCCTTTGGCATGTCATTGTCTTCATTTCTCCCTTAGGATAAATTGTTTTCCTCATCCAACTTTATCAACATTATTGTGTAAAGCAAAATATCTTTAACAACATACTTAGTTCCATCAGGATACATAATAACATCCCCCACCCCATACTATCATTCAAAAGCCAAATACAAAAAACAAACTTTTAGATATTATCGTACCCTAGCAGTAAAAGTAGAGCATGACCCCCCAAAATAGCGTATTTTGGCATGTCATTGTCTTCCTTTCTCCCTTATGATAATTTTTTTCCTCATCCAACTTTATCAATATCATTGTATAAAGCCAAATATCTTTTAAAGCATACTTAGTTCCATCAGGATACATAATGACATCCCACACCGCATACCATCGAAAGCAAAATACCATAACCAAACTTTTAGATGTTATCATACCCCAACAGTAAAAGTAGAGCATGACCCCCAAAATAGCGTATTTTGGCATGTCATTATCTTCCTTTCTCCCTTATGATAATTTTTTTTTCCTCATCCAACTTTATCAACATCATTGTGTAAAGCCAAATCTCTTTTAAAGCATACTTAGTTCCATCAGGATACATAATGACATCCCACACCGTATACCATCGAAAGCAAAATACCATAACCAAACTTTTAGATGTTATCGTACCCCAACAGTAAAAGTAGAGCATGACCCCCAAAATAGAGTATTTTGGCATGTCATTGTCTTCCTTTCTCCCTTATGATAATTTTTTTTCCTCATCCAACTTTATCAACATCATTGTGTAAAGCCAAATCTCATTTAAAGCATACTTAGTTCCATCAAGATACATAATGACATCCCACACCGCATACCATCGAAAGCAAAATATCATAACCAAACTTTTAGATGTTATCATACCCCAACAGTAAAAGAAGATCATGATCCTAAAATAGCATAGTTTGGCATGTCATTGTCTTCTTTTCTCCCTTGGGATAAATTGTTTTCCTCATCCAGCTTTATCAACATTATTATGTAAAACCAAATATCTTTTACAGCATATTTAGTCCCATCAGGATACATAACGACATCCCTCATACTGATACGAATCTAGTTGTATATCGGACCAAATCCACCTTAGAGACCCGCCTAAGATCAACTTGAATCACCAAACTTCTAGATGAGTATGTCGACAATCTTCACTTGATAAATCCTCCTTCGTTCGTCGGCCTTAGACCCCCAAGTCGACCTGCACTTGAACACCTAAGATCACCAGATTCACAACAATTAAGCAATCACAACCTAATTGTTTGCTAGGACTCTACAAGATTGAAGAACCCTAAGTTTGCTCAAACTAGAACAAAGAAGCCAAATAATCGATATGGGTGTGTAAACCTCTCAACTTTATTGATAACTTGACTTAACTTATGTTTTCAAGAGATAAAAGAGCCCTTATATAGGGGAGGGGTTGGCGCATAACCTACTCCAATCCCTATAAGGGGCGGCAATACATAAAGGAAGGAACAAGGAAATAGCCTACTCCTTGTCCTACTAGGAAAAGTAAATAACATTACATAATTAAGCAAGGATTGGACTTAGTCAAACAAGGCCCAACCCAATGTCTTCTAGACTAAATAAATAACTAATCTAAGATAGAATAAAGGCCCATGAAGCCGAATTACACAATGCTAAGCCTAATGCTCATCGATTTCAAGTAAAATGAACACCTTGGAATCGATGGGAATATTCTTGGTGATGTCGACTTCAATACCCTCCAAATGGTCTTCAATGGACTCTAAACCTCCAAGATGAGATCTTACAAAGCCCAATAAAACTTCCTTGAACCTTTAGCCCGAGCCCTAGTCATTGGACCTTGCGGCATGGCTAAAGGATCAAGTGGCCGGTTGTGGCCGGATGGTCCATGCGATGGTCCGTGCGATGGCCCATGCGATGTCCCATGCATTGGCCGGTCTTGGCCGGTTGCTCCATGCGATGGTGGCCGGTCCTCAACTCCTAGCTCCGCCAAGCTTGTGTTCAATCCGGGATCATCCGTGGCATCTTCTTGAATCTCTAAGACATCTCCATGTTTATCCAAGACATGATCTCCAATGGCTCCATTGTGCTCTTCTAAGGCATGATAAGCCCTTGGCGCATCATCCCCTCTCCCTTGAAAAGGATTTGTCCTCAAATCTGCATCACTATCAAACAAGGATAAGTCTGAAACATTAAAAATAGCACTTACATTGCCATATTCACTAGGAAGATCTAGCTTGTAGGCGTTGTTATTGATCCTCTCCAAGACTTGGAATGGACCATCTCCACGAGGTAAGAGCTTAGACTTTCTCTTTTCAGGGAACCTCTCTTTCCTTAGATGCAACCAAACCCAATCCCCGGGTTCAAAGGTGATCTCTTTGCGCCCTTGTTAGCAATCTTCATGTAGTGTTGTGTTTTCTTCTCAATTTGAGCTCGAACCCTAGCATGAAGGTCCCTAACATAATCGGCCTTCCTTTGTCCATCCATGTTGTCTTGCACACTCAAAGGTAAAATCAACAAATCCAATGGGGTTAAAGGATTAAAGCCATACACAGTTTCATAAGGTGAATGTCCGGTGGTGCTATGTGTGCTTCTATTATATGCAAATTCGACATGAGGTAGACAATCCTCCCAAGTTCTTAAGTTCTTTTTAATTAAAGCCCTAAGCAAAGTAGACAAAGTTTTATTAACTACCTCGGTTTGACCATCGGTTTGAGGATGACAAGTAGTAGAAAATAACAACTTAGTACCTAACTTAGCCCATAAAGTTCTCCAAAAGTGACTTAAGAACTTAGCATCTCTATCACTTACAATCGTCCTAGGCATTCCATGTAGTCTAACAATTTCTTTAAAGAACAAATTAGCTACATTAATTGCATCATCCGTTTTAGTAAATGCAATAAAGTGAGCCATCTTAGAAAACCTATCAACAACTACAAAGATAGAATCTTTACCTCTCCTAGAACGAGGTAAACCTAACACAAAGTCTATACTAATATGAGTCTATGGTTCATGAGGAATAGGCAAAGGAGTATACAATCCATGAGGTTTAGAAGTAGATTTAGCTTGCAAACAAACAATACAACTAGCAATATACTTCCCTACATCATGTCGCATCTTCGGCCAAAAGAAGTATTCATGCAAAATGTCATATGTTCTATCAACTCCAAAGTGACCCATTAAGCCCCCTTCATGCGATTCCCTCAAAAGCAAGATGCGCAAAGAACAAGAAGGCACACACAATCTAGATTCCTTAAACAAAAATCCAGAATTTTCACATGCTTTAAATATTTCACCAAAGTAAACATCACTAGCATATAATTCCTTAATATACTCAAAACAAGAAACTTAGAATCAAGCATGGAAAGTAAGACATACCTCCTTGATAAAGCATCGGCTACCACATTCTCCTTACCTTGTTTGTATCGCACAACATAAGGAAAGCTCTCTATGAACTCATTCCACTTAGCATGTCTCTTGTTTAGCTTTTGTTGGCCTCTTAAATACTTTAAGCTCTCATGATCTATATGAATCACGAATTCCTTAGGCCAAAGGTAGTGTTGCCAAGTTTGCAACGCCCTCACAAGAGCATACTACTCTTTGTCATAGGTTGGATAATTCAATGCAGCCCCATTCAATTTCTCACTAAAGTATGTGACGGGCTTCCCACCTTGCATTAAAACAGCTCCAATTCCAACCCCTGATGCATGACATTCAATCTCAAAAGTATTGTTAAAGTTAGGTAAAACAAGCAAAGGAGCATTAGTTAGTTTTTCCTTCAACGTCTCAAATGCTTCTTGTTGTTCATCTCCCCACTTGAATGGTGCATTCTTCTTCATAACACTTGTAATAGGGGAGGCTAAGGTGCTAAAGTCCTTAACAAACCTCCTATAAAATCCGGCTAGTCCATGAAAAGATCTCACTTGTCCAAAGTTGGTGGGTGTTGGCCAATCTTTGATTGCCTTGATCTTTTCCTCATCAACCTCTATACCTTGCGATGAAACCACAAAACCAAGAAAAGCAAGCTTGTTTGTGCAAAAGGTGCACTTCTTAAGGTTAGCATTTAATTTCTCAACCCTAAGTACATCTAACACACATCTTAGATGCCTAACATGCTCATCTAGGTTTCGGCTATACACAAGAATATCATCAAAATAAACAACAACAAACTTGCCAATAAAAGCTCTTAAAACATGATTCATTAATCCCATGAATGTACTAGGTGCATTAGTCAATCCAAAAGGCATAACTAACCATTCATACATCCCTAATTTAGTTTTAAAGGCAGTTTTCCATTCATCACCCTCTTTCATGCGAATTTGATGATAGCCACTCTTGAGATCAATCTTAGAAAATAAGCAAGCACCATGCAATTCATCTAGCATATCATCTAATCTAGGAATAGGGTGACGATACTTTACCGTTATGTTGTTTATTGCCCTACAATCAACACACATTCTCCAAGTCCCATCTTTCTTAGGAACAAGCAACACAGGAACGGCACATGGAGAAAGGCTTTCACGCACAACACCTTTTTGAAGTAGCTCACCAACTTGCTTCTCCAATTCCTTTGTTTATTCAGGATTTGTCCTATAAGCTGACTTATTTGGAATTTGCGCCCCAGGGATGAAGTCAATTTGATGTTCAATCCCCCTAATTGGTGGTTGATCGTGTCGTCTATGACCATAAAAATAATCCCCACAATTAACTAACTAGAATAGTTAGGGCAAGTAGGGGTCGAATCCCACAGAGAAGGTTTATGTGATGAACGATATAAAGAAAGAAAAATCTTTTCCAAAAATCAATTAGAGAACAGGGGATTGTAAATAACAATTATAAAGAAAACAATTAAACTAAAAATAAAGCAAAGCAAATCTAAATCTAAATCTAAATCTAAAGCAGATTAATAAAGCAAACAATAATTAAAAAGCATACTTCTTCACCAGTGGTATCCTTCAATCAAATTAACTATGGATCCTCGATTTAAAAGGTGAATTTCGCATCTTATTCTTGACTGACAACTGATATAGGTTTCCCAACATGTATTTTAGATAAGAGGCCGATTAAAGCTGCAGTTATCCCTATTATTCCTTCAATGATCGATTACTTTCTTAGGGCTTAAAGATCACTTGAGAACAAAGCATTAAGAACAGTTAATTTACACACATGCCTACAAATAGAACCATACGAAGAGAAATTTCTCACCCTCCGGTAGACAAATACCCATTAAGCAGCGATTAAACAAACCTAATTTGCTACATACAATCAAACTTGAGTGATTAATTCTAAGCCTGATCTAGCCATAGATCTTCCTCTTACATCATTAGTGGCCACATAAGTCAAATAAGATTCAAAATCATAAAATCATTCTAGGGTTTTGACTACTATCATCAAGAACTTAACACAAAATTATAAGTAGAGAAATCTCACCATAATCAATTGATTGAATTCACCAAAGGATCAGAATTATTAAGGATTTAGCTACTCATGGATTTAGGAAAATCCATGAGAGGCATAAGAATACTTACAGGACTGGGGAGGAACGATTCTCCCCTTTGAAAACCCTAGGGACGTCGACTCCCTCTATTGCTAGAGGGGGTGTCGACTTCTCTCCCTTCTAAAACTAGAGAAAAACCTAAAAACTAAAGAAAGGTAGAAAAAGAGAAAAATCTAAATCTATGATGTGTAAAAGTATGTCTGTGTATGTGTTTTGTGATACAGGAGGTGGCTATTTATAGTGGAGGAATAGGGTAGGACGGTTTAGCCTTTTCTTGGTCTCCAAGTAGGATTAGGTGTCATCCTAGAGTAGTCTCCAAGTTAGATGAGGACTCTAGAATTTTCTGGAATTGTGCAGCAATTTCGACTTGAATTTCGGGCTTGAGAGATGGCAGATATGGGCTTTGCACTTTGAAAGAAAGTTGTAGAGCTCGGAGTTAGCTTTCCAATGGGTACTCATGGGCTTAAAACAGACATCTGAGCAGAAAGTTATGGCCTTTCTATGAAGACTGCGCTGAAACCGGGCCTATATCGCAAATATGCGGTATTATTGCGTGATTTGGATATTCTTTTGGATATTAGGCCTATTAATTAGGATTTTAACTCCAATTATAGGTTTATATGGGCTGAGTATATTCCCATATAAATAATCCAAAAATCCTCAACTTCAGGACTTCTTCTGGACTTGGCTTTAATTCTTTGCAATAAAGCTCCAAATCTTCAATTTTGCTTCTTGAATTAATTCTTCAATTATCTTCAAATCTTCAAAATATCTTCAATCACGAACTTCGCAACTTCAAATCTTCATTCCAAATGGCTAAATCCATAGTTGAGTAAAAAGTCTCCAAAATAGCTCCAAAAAGAGTGAAAAACAATAAGTTTTCACTTTTCTTGTCTTCAGGACCTAAAAACACAAATACTAACAAAATAGGGTAAAAACACATATAAAAATAGCAAAAAGTATATAAAAATAGCTATAAAAATATGCATAATTTGAGCTCGATCAGTGGTAAACCACTAGGAATCTCCTCAGGAAACACATCTACATAATCACTCAAAAGAGAAACAATGTTGCTTGGAAGCTCGCTTTCCAAGTGATTAGTGCTCACAAGTGTATAGTTAAGCAAAAACAAGATCAAAACAAAATTATCATTCAAAGCTTCTTTAATCTCACTCTTAGTAGCTAACATACACTCCTTATTAACTTTCTTAGAACTAACATGCTTAATTATATCGCAATTCTCACCTAAATTAGCATGATTAGTCTTTTCTTTAGCCCTAAATTCCGAATCTAACTTAGCAAAATCCTCTTTCAATTTCAATTGATCTTTTAAAGCCTCTTGAGGTGATAACGGAATAAAAGTAAAGGGCTTCTTACCACACATGAGAGTATATTGGTTCGTCTCACCATCATCTTGGACTTTGTTGTCATATTGCCATGGTCGCCCAAGTAGTACATGGCATGCTTGCATGGGTAAGATATCGCACAATACATCTCCTTTGTACCTGCCCAAACAAAGAGAAACTAAAACTTGTTTGTTAACCCTAATTTCCTCCTTATCGTTGATCCAACCCAAGCTATAAGGTTTAGGGTGTTTTGTAGTGGGTAATTGGATCTCCTTCACCAAAAAAACACTAGCTATGTTTGTACAACTCCCACCATCAATAATCACACTACTAGGCTTCCCATTCGCGTACATCCTAGTATGAAACAAGTTTTCCCTTTGATTGTTCACATCGTCTTTCACATAAGCACTCAAAGTTCTCCTAGCAACCAAACTCTTACGTGCAAAACCGACACCATCATCACTATCATCATGCGCATCTCCTTCATCATCTCTATCACCACTGGATCCTAGAGTAATCTCTTCATCTTCACTTTCGATTTCTCCTTGTTCATTCACGAACAACACTTTCTTGTTAACACAATCTTTAGCATAGTGTCCAAAGCCTTGACACTTGAAACACTTAACATGATTCTTTGAAGATGAACTCGATGAAGATTTAGAATCGGATTTAGGGGTAGCCCCCTTTTGCGCCAACTCCTTCTCTTTGGTCGACTTATCATCCTTCTTGATTGGAGTTTTCCATGAGCTTGATGATGATGAAAAGCTCTTCTTATTCCTCTTTATTTGACTCTCGGCCTTCAAAGCATGTTGAAGCAATTCCTCAACATCATAGTGTTGTTGCATCTCCACAATATCATGAATTTCTCTATTCAACCCCGCCATAAATTGTCGCAACGTCCGAGTCCGGGGAGTACTGAACCCTATCGTTTAATGACTTAAGGAACTAAAAAATTAAGGGAGTCGCCACTAATCTTTTTTAACCTAGGTGTGATTAGCCACCTATCAGATTATTAAGCCTAATGTTGACCCTAGCTTGGCGAAGGTAACACTAAACCTAATAAACGGTCTATTAACCAGAGTCCTAAGGGTTCGGGAGTCGGGTACGTGTGGGGAAGGATTAGGACCCCCACGACGCCCGTCAAAAGACGGCACTGACTAGTCTAGACTTAATCGTGGGTTTCTATTATTGGTTATTTCTATTCTTAAGTTTTTCATGCCATATTGAAAGAGTTTTATTGACCTTTGATTAACTTATTATCTTACTATCGATTACCCTTTTATTTTTTATTACTAATTACCATTCTTTTTCACTCTTTATACTGATTACCATATTTTACTCTTTTTACTGATTACCCCTTTTCTTTCTGTTTTGACTGAATACCACTTTTACTTTTTTTACTTAATTACCATTTTTTTACTCTCCTTTTTTTACTTAATACCATTCTTACTTTCTTTTTTTTTACCATTTATATCCCTTTTTACTGCATACCACTTTTTACTCTTTTTTACTGATCACCATTTCTTACTCTTATTTACTAATTAGTCTTTTTCACCTTTTTTTTTATCTTACTGATTACCACTTTTTACTCTTCTTCTTTTCCTCTTTTACTGACTACCATTTTACTCTTTGAATTTAATTGCTGACTATCATTTTCCTTTCTTAATTACTTATTACTATTTTTACTCCTTTTTAAATCATCAATTTACTAATTGACCACTCAACTCTTAATTACTGAACATCTTAACTCTTAATTATCGATTTACTGATTACTATTTTTACCTAGGCTCTTTAATTACTGATTAATCAATTTACTGATTACTATCTTTTTACCTGATTACCGATTTACTGATTACTATTACCTTGACTCTGATTAATCTCTTTTTACTTAATTACTGATTTACTGATTACTATTACTTGTCTCTGATTAATCTCTTTTTACTTAATTACTGATTTACTGATTATCATTACCTTAACTCTGATTAATCTCTTTTTACTTAATTACTGATTTACTGATTACTATTGCCTTAACTCTGATTAATCTCTTTTTACTTAATTACTGATTTACTGATTACTATTACCTTAACTCTGATTAATCTCTTTTTATTTAATTATTGATTTACTGATTACTATCACCTTAACTCTGATTAATCTCTTTTCACTTAATTACTGATTTACTGATTACTATTACTTTAACTCTGATTAATCTCTTTTCACTTAATTACTGATTGACTGGTTACTGTTGCTTTAACTCTGATTAATCTCTTTTCACTTAATTACTGATTGACTGGTTACTGTTCGGACTGATCCCATTTTCTTTCTTTTCCCTTTTTAGATTTTCTCCTTAATTTATTGATACACTAGATTCTTGAATGCGTGAATGCATATGATGCATGGAATTCCTTTTGAACTTAATTACCCATTAATTATACGAGGAACACCTTCGGCCACCTCCCAATAAATGGTAAACGACCTCCGAAAATTTCCAAACCTCCGGGAGAAGTCAAGCAAACTCAGACACGCATGAATGAGCCGCCCTCCTTTCCCTTCACGGGAGTCATTTTAATTCAGTCTTATGATCATGGCAACAACAATACAATCCCGGAATTTAAATATGGATGCACATGCAACTATTCCTAAATTCTAAGCCTTAATTTTATTTACTTAGGCCGGATTAAGATAGCTAGACTTCTAAGCCCCAAATATTGTCCAAGTACAAGGCTCAAATATAAGGGAAATCCAAACATGTCAACATACTCAATCATATGGAATAGGTTTCACATAAACAAATATGGAGGCCCAAAAATAACAAAACAAAGACCAAATAAATAAG